GTCTAGGAGATTTAAACCCATTCAGAACCCATGCTTGTACCCATTCAGTCACACCCAGGACAACTATGCACCACTCTCCTTTTTCCAGTTGTGCTTCATCAGATAGGATTCTGAAAGATTCAACTCTGAAAAAAAAGTAATCCATGGAGTATAAATCTCCCTTGCTGGTGGGGTTTTAAAGTCAGATTGGGACTAGACAAAAGCAGTCACACCAGGACCGCTGTCAGTTAGAAGCCCTTGGTGTTTCTTTGCAGCGTTTGTGTGCACGTCTCCGTGCACGAGCAGCAAAGAGTCTCAGCGTGAGCATTAGGAGACAAGGGGGGATAAGAAAACTAAAGCTCTGATACATGCTGCTCAGTGTGATGGTGAAGAGAGGGTGTCAGAAGTTTGTGTGGGTTGTAGCTGCTGCACAGTCTTTGTTCATGGATGATTTTACCTGTGAGCTTGTGTGTGTGTGTGTGTGTGTGTGTGTGTGTGTGTGTGTGTGTGTGTGTGTGTGTGTGTGTGTGTGTGTGTGTGTGTGCGCAGTCCTGATCATTATTTTTGCATGCAACAAGAGAAAACATGCACATCTGCAGGTTTTTGCAAGAGTGATACACACACCCTTTTTGGTAGCTTTTTAAGCAATTCATGATCTTTGCAAATTGAGAGCTAATTTGCCACATTTCTTAGTTTTTCCACTGTGGAGTCTTTGTTTGTTTAGTGATGCAGCTCTGTAGCTCCTCTGTGTACTGCAAGCACAGACAGCTGCAATGTTTCAGAGTGAACAGACACACATTTCTATTGCTGACCCCAGGGCAGCTCATTAGAATTCAACACACCTCTTATATCTTCCCCCATCGCCTCATTCTCTAAACACCACCATCACTTAACTTTTTCTCTTTTGCTTCCTTCCTTTTTATTCCACCTTCTGACATATTGGAATGAATTGCTTATAGTGAAGTCTTGGTCAGCTATTATAACAAGTAAAGTGTTAGCTGCACAATCAACTCTCACTTGCTGACAGCCATTAAACAAGCACATGCATATCTATGAAAAAAAAGTGCAAATGTTTTGCTTTTTATTATGGGTAATGTCAGATGAGCTGACTTAGAAATAAAAAGTGTAATTCTTCCTTGAGGAATTTGGAGAAAGATGATGCACCGACTCTTAAGATGGATGCTTTTGAGGTTGTTTCGAATATTGCCATTTGTTAAAAGTGATGCAATTACTTTTCCGGTTTTGTTTAGGTTGATCATATTAGCAGTAATTTATCTCAGAGTGGCAGTTTCAGCTACACTGAAAGTTCTGTAGCTGTTGCAGCTCCAGCGCCATCACTGTTGTCCTTAGCCTGCAGGTGCTTCTTCAGCTCTGAAGTAAATCTGTTCACTGCTGACAGACACCATTAACCAGCCACATTATGCATCTCAATTCTATGATTTCAGAATAAATGAAGAACTTTCATAGGTTAAAAATAATGTGCTTTTTCTGCAAGCTAGTATTTATACTAGTAGTGCTGCCAACTTATTACTATATAAAGTATAAGCTGACCTAAAAGTTGTTAAATTACACCATTACTAGGGCATTAAAAAGTAATCTAACTAATCAGAGACTTTGTAATTAATTAATCTTGATTAATCACATTTTAATCTTTCAAGACCATTTGCACACAAGCATTTTTTTCTATTAAAAATAAGATTAGTGAGGTACAGATGACTCACCTACACTTCAGTTCACATCCACAAAGTCACAGGGTCTATTTATTACTTTGGTCTCATTGTAAAGGTAACAATTGCGGTATTTGTTAGGATGTGTAAATATTAGTAGTAGACATGTAACAATGTAAATGTTGTGTACTGAAATGAACACCAAGTCGCAGCAGAACACAGCTAATGCATATAGAGGTGTGGTATAGAGTTCAGGGGAAGTTCTGTTGAGGGTTACAAGATGAATGCTATGCGTATGCTCGTCCCTCCTGCTGTAATAAAGCTCAAATGGATAAAGTTAATGTCTGTCATCTTTCTACCAACTACAAAACTAGATATTTTTTCTTTATTTTGCTTCTGCATGAAAGGCAATTTGTCGTGATTTATTTAATGGTACTTTTAGTTGTGTTTGGAGCAAAAAGGTTTTTATGGCCTTGTAGCCCAGGATCTGAAGTTTCTTTAGAGGTGCAGCTTGATTATATCTATCTATATGAATGTTGGTGCTAACGTTTTTTGGCCCTTAGTTAGGGAACTCTTGGGCTCAAACATTAATTTTTTTACTGAATTTTTGTTCTAATTAAGGAATTGTAATTAACACACCCCTAATGATTACATAATTGGCTCACTGGATTTAATTGTAATGGGCGATGCAGAGGGGATGGATGATCTTAATAATTTTGGCTTCCGACAGAGAATGCTGCTGTTGTGTCCTTGGGCAAGACACTTAACCCGCCTTGCTTGCTGGTGGTGGTCGGAGGGACCGGTGGTGCCAGTGTTCAGCAAGCCTTGCCCTGTCAGTGCGCCCTAGGGCAGCTGTGGCTAATGTGTAACTAAACACCACCAGGGAGTGATTGTGTGTGTGCATGGGTGAATGACTGATTGTGCTGTAAAGCGCCTTGGGGGGATGTGAGGACTCCATAAGGGTATATATCAAATGCAGGCCATTTACCATTTAGTGGCCAAAAAAAAACAACAACTTTTATTTATTATTTGGTGAAAATCCAAACCTTTCTCTCTTATCTTGGCTAAGGTTTGTCAGAAGAAACACTCAAAACACAGTTTGAGTCATTTAAAACGGTTTAGGGGAGATATTATGTAAAACTTGCTTTTTGCATCCTTTTGTGCTGCCATGTAGGTCTCTACTCCCTCCAAAAACATTCCAAACATGAAAGAAAATGTCCATCCGTTTCCTGTCAGTTTTTAGTTTTAGGAAGTATGTGTCTAAAACAAGCAGTTTGACAAAGTTGTGATGTCGCAATCAGAGCAAATTAAAATGCAGCCACCTCTCACTTAGAAGAGAGCAACTGCTGCTGCTGGAGGAGCAGCGACTCTACTCCGAGCCCCTCTTGGATATTGGAGCTTCACAGCTTATAGCAGCCTGAGAGGGAATCCGTGGGCATGTCCAATATCTAAAAAAAACAATTTTTAAAGTGTAGCCTACAGATATGGGAAATTGTGGTATCAACATGTTATCTCCATGCTGTGTTTTTGTTCTGCTCAGCGACAGAACCAGGTGATTTCAATCAGCACAGTGAATGAACCTGGTTCAGTTGCTGAGCAGAACAAAAACACAGCATGGAGATGACTTGTTGATGCCACACTTTCCCATACCTGGTAGTCTAGAAGGTACATAGGACATTAGATGAGATGTAAGATGGTGCAAAACCAGCCAGCTGTGACTTCATGCATTTGTGATCCAGTGGTCATAGAGGAGTTAACTAGCCTAGTGAACTAGACCAAATTCTTGCTTTGCAAAGAATGGTCTAGGCATGCTCCATTGGAACCTCAGCAGCTCCTACCAGGACTCTGGCTAGCCAATCACAGCTCTCTAAAGGGGTTTCAAACACACAAAGAGCTGTGATTGGTCCATAATGGTGGGCCAATCATAGTGCTCTATCTGCTTAGTGAACAAATCGCAGAGCTTTATCCGCTTTGTGGGCCAATCAGGGCACTCTATATGCCTGGTGGGTGGGATGATGCAACAGAGTGAAACAAGAGTATGTCACATTCATTGTCCAGTGGAATGCGGAGATCATTTGAAAGACAACAGTAGAACCCGCCCCACAACCAAGAGCCGTCAATGGAGCGTGGCCAGACTAAATAATACATGTATTTAGTCTGGCTTGCCAGGCTAGGAGTTAACCTCTCCAGCTCTGATTTCAGCGCAGTAGCTGGGCCATCTGTGAGTGCTTTGCATCTAAAGCAGCACCTGCTGCTCATGTAGAAGAGTAAGAATGATGAGTATTTTCCCATTAGACATTTTTGTAGCACTCTTTATTAGCCACAGTGATGAAGTTGTGTGTAACCCATCCTTTATGGAAGATTATGGGGTTATGGTTAGTTGTAGCATTGTTAACTACCATCTCTTTAACATGCGAGCTTTAACAAGACCAAAGATGCAGACACAAAACATTATTTTCCTCCTGCTGTTAATATAAACACACCCTTGTTTTTATGAAGCGAGTGGAATGACTCAAACACACATTCAAATACTCATATTGGTTTATGACAGCAGATTTGGTCAGAAAACACATCCCAATATGTTGATTGTCCATATTTACATATCTACTCTTAAGTCGGCAATTCTTGCATGAGTTTGAGTGTGTATGCACGCGCTTTAGTGTTGGTGTTATTGTCCCAGGCTAATTGAGCAATTCCATTGAGGGGGATGCAATGTTTAAGGTCATAGAACGATGTGTTCCTCTGGAGCAATTAGAAAGCTGCTGCTTTTATAATTACTCTGCTTTTATCTGCGCTGCAGCTAAAACTACATCCAGACAAATGCAAACACAGGCATAAACAGGCTCATCTACTGAAGAGTGCAATATTCAGATATAACATGCAAACGCCCACATTCCGTTGCATGAGTAAACACTTGCATGGGTGCTCACGGTCACCCACAGTTAAAATTATCTTTATTTTGCCACATTTTCTACAACAGGAAATTGTTGGGTGTGGTTTTGTCAGGCTTTTTCTGCAAATTATCATTCCAAGCAACTGAATTCAGCCATAACTATTTAAGGTTGTTGTTCAAACCTGCCTCTCACTGTGCACATGATTGTAGGTGGTTTATCAGATTCAGCAACAATAACTGTTACTGGATCGAATGTTTTCGACCAGAAGATGCATGCATATCCTAAATCAGCTTTTTCAACGCACAACCAAAGTCTCCTATGTGTGTGTGTGTGTTTTATTTCTTTTTGGCATGCATGTGGCTCTTTGAGTCTGTTTATTCACATGTGCTTGCATGCCTGATTGCACATGTGACCTGAACAAACGCCAACACTGGTGGCCTTGTCTGTTTGTCTCATGCAGACGTTCTGTGAATGTGTGCCCAGCTCCTCCCAGCTCAAACACCGCTGGTCAGACTCAGAAACTGCCAGAGAGACTCCGGCCAAGGTAAGGCCCAGTCCCCGCCGTATTTGTGTAGGACGTCAGAAAGTGCTTATGGGTTTTTCTTAGAAAAGCAATTGAATGGATTGACTTGTTCACTGAAAAAAATAATCATACTTTTGTATTTACAGTAGTTTGTTTTTTTATATTTTGCTTATAGTTTAATTATTTTTAACCCTGCAATTCTAAAAGTGTTGCATCTGATGTGTATGGTTTAATCTGTCTAAGAGCTCAACCTCTTCATCAGGATTAGTACATTCTTCAACACCCTGTTCACATTGTAAACACGTCTACTTCCCTCTGGTGGAGAATCAAAGTACTGCATGTTACACTTTTTTTTAAATTATTGCTGTTGGAAGAGAAAATGTACAAGCAATGTATGGTAGCATTTTTTATGATCATTATATTACCATTAGAAAAATAACTATGAGTAAACACATTGTTTTATTTTATAAAAGAACATCTTAAAATCTATTAAATTCTACGTTGTCTGCTGGTGAACGTTCTTCGCCACCCAGGTCATGGTAATCCAAAGGGGTTTGAATGAAGGCAACTGGACTTCTTTGGTTTCTTGAAGACGTTTGGCTTCTCATCTTTGTCAATTCTGACTGGAATAGGGCAGGGTCAAGCTTGTAAAATGTAGCTGTCTGTTGTTGCTTAAGGAGCAGAAACTACATGTAAGTAAGTAAGTAAGTAAAAGTTTATTTATATAGCACCTTTCACAGATATAAATCACAAAGCGCTGTACAACATGATAAAGATCAGGGCAAATACCTCTAACCAATAACAACATCAGAAAAACAATAGCAGTGATAAAATAGAAAATTAAATCATGAGTATAAACAAAGTGAAGGTGTGAACCCGAACAAAGTAATCTTTTTGAAACACTTAGGGAGGGAACGCCTGGATGAAAAGGTGAGTTTTTAGATGGTTTTTAAAGACCTCTACAGTGTTAGAGAGACAGAGATTTGAAGGTAGACTGTTCCAAAGTCTGGGTGCAATAGTCTGAAAGGCCCTGTTCCCTTTGGTTTTCAGTCTGGTTCGAGGAACAGCCAGGAGGTTTTCAGATGTGGATCTAAGGTTCCGAGAGGTGGTGTGTGGGGATAAAAGCTCAGATAGGTAGCTTGGAGCCTGGTTGTTAAGAGCTCTATAGGTCAGGACTAAAACTTTAAACTGTATTCTATATTCTACCGGGAGCCAGTGGAGGGACTGTAAAACTGGAGTGATGTGAGCTCGTCTGCTGGATTTGGTTAGGAGTCTGGCTGCTGCATTTTGGATGGCTTGAAGGCGTGAGAGGGAGGTTTTGCTGAGACCAGTAAAAAGAGCGTTACAGTAGTCTAAGCGTGATGACACAAAGGCATGGATGATTTTTTCCAGATCTGCAGTAGAAACCAGTTTACGGACTTTTGAAATGTTTCTCAGTTGAAAGAAACAAGAGCGGGAGATGGTTTTGACGTGTGAGTCTAAACTTAAAGCTGGATTAAAAATAACTCCCAGGTTTCTAATGTTGGCCTTGGCTGATGGGCAAAAAGAGGCAATTTCTTGCTCGATTTTTGGCTGAAGTTCCGGGGGTGCAGCGATCAGGGTCTCTGTCTTGTTAGCATTGAGGACAAGATAGTTGCTGGACAGCCAGTTACTGATCTGGGTCAGGCAGAGTACAAGTGTGGCCAGCCTGTCCAACTGGTGGGGCATAAAGGACATATAGAGCTGAATATCATCAGCGTAGATGTGGTAGGAGATGTCTGGGAAAGACTGAATGATGCCGGCCAGGGGAAGAATATAGAATGCGAATAGTAGAGGCCCTAGAATACCCCTCCCCCCTACCCTCGAGGAGTGGCTTATTGTTTGGGAATGGTTGTCTTGATTAGATGCAGGAGGGTGTGACCTTTGTGTAGGTGCTGGAGAGGTGAAACCTGAGGCCTCATCCTCTGTTTAATCAACACATTTGTTTAATATCGGTTTTTCCTGTTTCACATAAATTGCTTCATTTACTCTTCTCTCAAAACATCTATCTTGTCTGTCGTGAATGTTCACTTTGTCACAAGCTTTGGTCTCACCCAAAGAGCACCTCAGTTTGACCTACAGAGAATCCAAAAAAGCCTCCATGCATAAATGCAGATTCTAGGTCACATTATCTAATGCTAGGAATGATGGAGTTTTCCTTAGTTTTTTTTTTTAAACAGGATAATCAAGGCCATGGGTATTACTAGAAGGCTTGATACCGGAATTGAATACCCCTCATCATCATCATCATCATCGGCCTTTATTTATAAAGCACTTTCTTTCCACCACAGGCGAACCAAAGTGCTGTACACTCACACAGAAATTAAAACACTACAGACCCAAGCAATGGCCAGCCATAAAATAAACAGCCAGAAATAAAAAACAACAGATAAAATCAAAAGATGCTGATAAAAACTAAATAATAAAGTAAAAATACAGCCGGATAGTCATTTACGAAATTGACCAGAAATATCTAAAAAGCTAAAACTAACTCACATGCGGAGTGAGCACCACTGTATAAAAGTGAGTCTTGAACTGACTCTTAAAAACCAACAGTGAGGGTGATTTTCAGACCACGAGTGGAAGGTCATTCCACAGCTTGGAGGTCACCTGATCTAGGGTGACTCCAACATGTACCCTGTAGTTGTAAATGTTTATCTGTTGAATGCTTTTGAAGAGCTTTATTGAAATAGTTTAAATAGTAAGCACAATCTGTAAACAAACAAACAAACAAAATGACAAACACACTCACAGACAGGCAAAAAAACTATTTTTGTTCCTATTTGGTTTTGGATCAAGGCAGCTGGATTTCTTTGTTACAAGAAGGTGTTTCACTACTATTCCACAAAGCCAGTTCTGATCGTTGGGTTGGGATCACCAGATGCATACGATGCTCATTTTTATATTCTAGGGTTGTTTCAAAAGGGTTCAGATGAAGGCGACTGGACTTCTTTGGTTTCTTGAAGACGTTTCACTTCTCATCTGAGGAGCTTTGTCAACTCTGACTGGAATATGGAAGATTCAAGCTTATAAGCTGTTGCTGTCTGTTGTTGCTTAAGGAGCAGAAACTACTCTGAATACCCCTTCTCCTTACCTCCAGATGAGTCGTTAGCATCTATTTTGTGGTAATAGTTGTATTGATTAGATGCAGGAAGATGTGACGTAGACTGAAACTATTAGGGCATACGATTCAGAGCTACATTATAGGTACTGGAAAGGTGAAACCTGAGTCCTCTGATAGGTAATTAGATTCATCCCATATTACCTTAAAGGACGACACACCCGGAGAGAGAGAGTAAATCTTGATTATTTGTAATGTCCATGTGCGCGAATCAACATGCGAGAAGCTGGACTCAACCAACCAGCCCCCACTCTGCTCCAGCCTCAAAGCCTTCACCTCACCAGCTCGGCATACCCGCGGTCTCCATCAGGAGACCACAATGTTAGGTAATATTTAATCTCCATAACCCTGGACCCTGAAATAAACACACATCACGAAAGGGAGACATTTTACACTGAATTAGCCAAATGAGGGGGAGATCACCGAAATGACTCATAACTCTCTCCAGAGCTAGATGCCAGGTGACTCCCCCTGTCTTCAGAGTGTCCAGTGGCTTTATTCAAGCAAAGGGTGGAGAAGGCGGGCCTTCTCAGGTTACAGAGGTACAGAGTTTTCTCAATCAACATCCTTGCTCAACCTTTTCATGAACAGCCACGGTTTGGCAAACACAGAGATGGGCATCTTTTAGGCCTCAAAAAGGTACAATTATAAAAATACCCAACATCCTCCTTTTCTATTTAAAGCACGTTTCTCACGTTTGACATAGATAGCTTCCTTTACTCCTCTCTCAAACTATGTATCTCCTCTGTCCAGTATGTGTACTTTAAAATCTTCAAAAGTGTGTCCCTTGTCCTTCAGGTGTAGGTGAACTGCAGAGTCTTGACCTGAAGAGGTGGCTCTCCTGTGTTGTGTCATGTGCTTGTGTAATTGTTGTTTAGTTTCCCTAAAGTAAAGATCTGGACAGTCCTCACTACATTAGACTTCATATTCGACTGCACTCAGCTTCTCTTTGGGTGTTTTGTCTTTTGGATGGACCAATTTCTGTCTGAGGGTGTTGTTGGGTTTAAAGTTTACCGGGATGTTGTGCTTGGAGAAGATTCTTCTCTGAAGTATCTCTAGTCCCCTTCAGACAGGCCAAGAAAAACAGAAATGTTCGGGACTCTGTCCTTGAGACCTTTGTGTCTGAATACAAACATCCGGATAACCTTTTCCGTAATTAAACCGGACGAAGCCCCTAGTAACAGGACCGGACTTGTCACGGACAGGGTGGCTGCTTCAGACTGGTGAGGTCGAGTTCCGGACAGGGAGGAGGGGGAGGAGGAGGGGGCCGGGGGACGCTGTGCACACCTAGATAGCCCGCTCCTGTAGCATGCGGCGAACCATGGCAGCTCGCCTCCTACCGTACCGTCTCCTAGATGCGCGACGGAGCGCTTCACACCGCTTCCGTGATTCCTTTATTAACCACTGAGCTTCATCATCCAGGTCTCTTATGCGTCTTCGTGTGCGCAGAATTATGCTTAACATAAGTCCGATCAGTGGGAGGAATTCTAACTCTTCGTCGGCCGTGTTTGACTGAATAGCTTTGTTTGGGTAAATGACGCATGTACGCCCGCCGCACTATGTTTACGCAATATCCGGGTACAGCCTTCCCACCCCCTCCCCCTCAGACATCTGGAACTTTTCCGTGCTGTGTGAAGGCAGCCGAAAGGACAAGTTCAGGTACTAAAGTGGTGTGTCTGAAAACACAGTTCTGGTTAAAAACCGGACTGAATTGTCCACACATATTCCAGAATGTCAATCTGAAAAGGGTTTCTGAGACTCCTGACACACATGGGATGATGATGCTTGTTGTCCTTTTCTTTGCTATTTGCTGCTGTGGATTCTCTTTCAGACTTCCTTCATTCGAACCCCGTTTGGATTACCATGACCTGTACGACTGAGA